AGATGATTTATTGTAAAGTGTCATTGCACTGGGCAGGAATGATCTCCTGTATCGGCCCTTGTGACAGCGGAGCTGAAGGAGTCTGTTGGCTTAAACCATTTGTTTCTTCTTTATTTAATCCATACACAAACATGTGTACTATTCATTCACTGCAGTGTCTCTTCTGGTTATTGTTATGCTCCAAGAAATAATTGCAGCACACGAGTCCTTATTTTGCTACATCTCTAAGGATTACCAAACATCATCAAGTTACTTAATAAGGAAGCATTTTATGTTCTCCTATTTGATATTTTTTTTATTTCTTTACTTTGAACAGCGCCAGGCTTCCACTGCCTCTCCATCTCTTCTAAAACATTAACCCTAATTGCATCACAGCTGCATGTTTTCAGTATAGTTCTGATGTTCTTTCTCCACTGAGAATATTCAGTAAACTAAGAGCAGATCAAGTTCTACCAAATTTCCTTGCTCCATTTCTAATTCCAAAGGCTACATGGAGGATTTGTTCCTGATGGGTTAACCATTCCTGTTGTAGAAACTCTTAATTGCATCTCGTTACTGTGTGGTTGAATGAACCGCACCGTCAGTGTATTACACAGTGTAAATTCTGGTCTTTGCAGGGATCAAACCTGATCAAACCTGCGAGCCTCCAGTCATGCAGCTAATCTCTAATCACCGTGTTGCCCTGCCATATGCTCACCTCAGTATGCACACGTTTACTAACTATAATAAAATCTGCCCGCTAGATGCTTTCATACCACTTAACATGTTCAAAGATCCAAACTTGAGACTAATCTCACCTGATAACAGTTTTTTTTATGTGTGTGTTTTCATATTATTCTAAACCACATGCACGAGCACCACATCAGTGAACTCCCCTTGTCTTTATCGCCTAGAATCTTGATCAACTGGGTGGTTGCCATGGCGACCACTCTTTCACTGTTTTCACTGAATGGCGCCTCCTTTCACCGTAAATGCTGAGCCTATAGGACTGCACATGAAGAATTAGTGTAGTCACGGCTGCTGAACAGTTACCTCAGCGCTGCTCTTTCACGGGGCGGCGGATGTGGCTCAATCGTCTCGTGTCGTCACTTTGATTCAGAGGAGGAGAAGGGGAACTGAGTTACGTACTTTGGCAGTGGGGCAGATTTTCAGATTGTATTCTTCGTCGGTTATGTAAAGTTTATTTGGGGTGTGGTGGGGAGGAGGAAAGGGTTCTTAATAATGCAAGAACTGTGTTATCAGGTCTCTGACACTCCACGCACAAACAATGGATGTTGTGATAAAAGGGATGCCTCTCATGATATTGTACATCGTCCCCATGTGCATAAAGTGTAATTCCAAGATTCACTCTCTGACATACCACTTTGATGTGTGCATCTGCATTTGTGGTTCAAGTAGGACAAGAAAAAGAGAAAGAACAGCACTGATCTGAATAGGAAGACATTACATTTTATAGAAAAGAAGGCTCCTTGTGTCACTTGTAAGATCAACAGTGCCCCCCCCTGGATGATTGACTGCACATAATGTCCTTAATTCAAAACTTCTCCGAAATAGTTATTTGGGAAATTGAATGAAATCTACATGTTACAGTAGCAGTCCACCTCCTCATTGAATCCAAACTTTGGACTCGTACTGCACATTGTGTTCATCTGCAATAATGGTGATCAGGTCTGATCAGTGAGAAGGCCGCCTAACAGATATTTAACCATGGATGTGTTTGGCCTGCTCTGCTATCAGACAGAATTACGGCGTTGGAGGATCAAAGATTATGATTTGAAAAAAAAAAAAAAAATCTGCGGTTTTAGCCACTGCTAAATTCTCCACTATGCTCACCAGCTACAGTGCGTGTGTGTGCGCATTTCCTTTAAAGACCATTATTGTTAGGGGTTTAAGTCCGGGTGGGCTTATTCAGGTTGGTGGCAAGGAGCTTCACTGCAACTATAAGCCACTGGCACGCTTTTTGAGTTTTTAATGTGCTTTTTTAGACATCTCAGAGAAATTGAAAAGATATGACCTCAGTAAAGGGACCTTGGTACTTGCTCTGCGTACATATATAAGATCGTCCAGACGTACAGCATAGCTTTAAAACACCATCCTATTGTACACACGGTCAATATATTATTCAGCCTGTACACACCAACAACGTCTCCATAGTAAGGTACTGCAGCAATTAGGTTCTATGAAACACTATTCCAACACAAATCAACATGTATACAAGATAACGGTTGATCTTATCTTAAATCTTAAAAATGCACTAGGCAATAACAATTAAGCTCATCCCGACCTTTGTTCCAACAAAACTGTGATCTAGTTTCTGTTTTGTTCTGTTTAACCCATTACTCAAAGGAGTAGACTTCTCTTCACTATAAGCACCTTCCACTGCCCCTCAGAGGCGGAATGGTGGCTATAAACTGTCCTCTACAAAATAATCGGTGTCTTTCCTGCAGGCCAAGCCTTTAACGAATTAAACCCCTCTAGACTGTATAATAATGGAAGCATTACATTACCTAAAATTAGAATCACAGCCTGCAGAAAAACAAGTCTTGTTTAATTTGAGAAGCCTCAAACATTTATAATTACTTTTTGGGTAAACGAACTTAGTGTATTATCTGATCTACAAAGCATGGTTTGAAATACATCAGTTATGTGCTAATATTAAAATAAAATCCACGCATTATCTATCCACTTTCTATATAAATTGTCCTGTTCAGGATCACGCAAAGCCGGAGTCTATTTCAACATGCAATTAAAACTTCAAAAACAGTGCAGTTGTTGCAACTTTGGCAGCTTGGGGCAAACCACTAATTCTAAAAATGCACTTAGGAACAGTTTTCACTTAAAAATAACCCCCCAAGTTGAATTAACTGGTAACAAAAAGGATTTTTTTTAAAACTCCATCCCAACAACTCTTTTCTCAACGAAGACAACTACGTAATCCCCTGTACCTGCTATCGAAAAGAAAGAGAATTAACCATAATTAGCACATTTGAATAAATAAGCAAGGATACATCGTAATTCTGCGGTAATTACATGTTTATACAATATTAACAAAACAATCTACTCATGAGCCTCCACTCATCGCCGACTTGTTCCAGTGCACCTCCGATTAGAAGGCTGATGAGAGAGGGGGGAGGGGGGGGGGGGGGGGGTCGTATCAGAACAGGGCTGGGGGAAAAAAAACCATCCAGGGCACGGGTCATCCAAATTACCCGATTTATCATTCGATAATGCTCGTCTTCACGCGACGGCAAACCAGCTCCCCTTGGTCCTAAAAATTCAGTTGGAACTATGATATGACAGTGCCCATGCAACCAACCTGTTAAGCGATAACAGCGCGATGAAAACACTGTGGTTTGCTGTTCATTAACATAACACGAATAGTCAGAAACTATTTTAATAGTATTCTTCTGTTTGAATATAACATGTGCCCTCTATTTGACCATGCCAAGACATATATTTACTTACCCTCAAAATGTCAACACCCACTGCATAGCTTTCTCTGTGAACTGAGCAAATAGTGGGGCCAGGCAGATTTTTTTTTAATGGTTGGTAAACACTGTCCTCTAGTGCTCACACTCGTGCGCTCTCACACATGCATACAGGACACAGGATTATGCCTGTTGTCAATGTCAAAAGACGGGACTTCTTCAAGAGGTCGAAGTCACAGCATCTTTTGAAAGCACAATGGTTATTGGTTATGGTTAAAGTACACTACCACACTGTTCAAAATGACCACGTTTTACTCTTTCTTAGTGGGTTTTTAGAATTGAATCCTTTTGTGCCTCCAACATGGAATAATTGTCCAATTGCACAAAAACGTCTGTAACCATGGTTTTATTATCAGCTACTCTCAGATGGCTTTTAGCCGGGCTGGCATAGTCTGACTAATGAGGCAAGTCACAATCACACAGTGAGCCGCAGTAAAAAGGAAGGGATGGCCTATCACACCTCCCCCCGAAATGACCTGATCAATCATTCCGTAATGCTTTCTAAGCAGCTGATTTCAACTGTCAACACAAGGTCAGGGTGTCCTGGTCCTTGAGATGACGGGAGGTGATGTGAATCTTGACGTAGGAAAAACAGATTCGCAATCAGCCTGTCAACCTCGCACTTGAAAGCCTCGCAGGATATTATAGATGTAAATGGAACATAATGGCGCCATAATAATTGTGCTCATCCTGTTCAGACTCTCATGGCAACGTCTTTTCTCTTTGACTCGACGCCATCTGGCTAAATCAGCGCAGGCGGGAGAAGCGGAGCCAGGAGCAGTTAGGACGACCCAGTCTTTGGTTAGAATGCAATCATCTTTCGGCTAGTGACACATGCCATTTGTTCTGACCCAAAGTTGAGGAGGCAGTAATTAAAATCTTTCATCCAAGTCATATCTCTTCTTTCAGATCTCTGAATATTAAGACAAATTTAAGTTCAACTGTCCAGTGAGCCTCTGGCATGTTTCACCGAAGGGCACTGAGTGCTTTGTGTGGCAGAGGCAGTGAACTTTAAGCGCATGCAGTGTGACATTGTGTGCCGCTATCTGCAAACAGCTGTGTTCTGTCGAGTTGACCAAACCAACAGAGCAGGTCGTACGGACCTTGTAAACATCCGTCTCTTCCAGAAAGAAAAAAAAAGTCAGTTATCATCCAGTTCGCTGAATCCAAAGCTCAGTCACAAGCATTTTGACAATCAAATGGGATATTTAGAGAATAACAGGAGCTGTTAACAAAGAACGTTTTGTTGCCAAATTGGCTGTTAAAGCAGAAAAACCTGCCAACCGTTTTGTGTTTTGTGCAGTTTCCACTTCATCTCTTACATATTGTAGGAGAATTGTAATTGGCAAATACTGTGCAAAATGTTGGTTGGATGGTTTCTTTCTTTTTCTTAGAAGAAGCAAAGCTGTAAACTCAACATGACAAAAAATTAAAACTTAAAAAATAGGAGATTTTTTTATGCCTTAGTCTGGGTTTTCCATGGATTTCATCAGTACTTTTCATCTGAACAACTGGATATTTTGATATTTATTAACGAGCAAAGATCAAACCCCAGTTACAATAATACCGTACATCAATCATTTATTTCTGAATACACATACATACAGATTTAGATTTAAATAGATAGAATCCAAATAAAAGAACTGGCTAAAACAAGTTTGAGTGAGTCAATTATGAAGATAAAATATTTTGCAACATAAGCATGAATTTACACAATATTCTAAATAGGATTCCCAAAATATGACCATGCTTTATAATGAATTACTCATGACCTTTACAGGTTATTTCCAAACTGATGACATCTGACGGATCACTGATGCATCTTTTATGATTCCCACTTTCATCACAGTTGGTTGCAGCGTTATCACTGTGAATAGAGGCATCTGGCTCCCATCTGGGCTTTGTTGGCTTTTTGCTGCACAAAACGTATTTTAAAAAAGCAATTATGAATTGTGCAACTCGTTGCTTGTTTCGGGGTATCTGCTTTGCATAGAAACACAATCCCCACATACAAACACATGCATGAGAATCTTGAAAAAGACAGAGAAATTTAGTATGAACATAAAATTGAGCTTAAAATAACACTTTCATGTAGCTCACATGTTTTTTATGCACGTCCAAAGCTGTCCATTGTTGTGTTGTCATGTTCAAACTCCTGAAAGATGACTGGTGGCATTGGAAATGAAATGGCTTGGCGGAAGATCGTGTACTAATGACAAGACGAAGAAGAAGTTACACACTAATCTAAATACTGCAATCAATACAAGCTTTCCAGCTAAGTGTAGTTGGTGCATTCTATCTTTTAATACCTCTGGTAATTGAATCCTCACATCAATGCTGTCTGCTGAGCTGGCGATTACTGATGCGGAAATCTCCTGCCCGGCATTTTTCTCTTGTTTTTGGTAGAAGTTGAGAAGCAGAGCCATACCTGGAATGTAGCTTTCAAGTCTGGGAGATCAGAGATCAGAAATAATAATAGTTAACAAAAAAGATAATCTTCTTTAACAACACACGTCAGACATTATGTGAGCATGTAAAGCAAAGTGAGTGAATCAAAGTCATTCTTCGGCCCGATCTCCTCTTCCTCCTCACATTTGATATTTCTTGATACACACTTCACCTGGATTCCTCGGAGGCTCACCTTGAGCAAGCCTGTGTCACCTTCTCTGGCATCCTGCTCCAGTGTATTTTGGCCTTGATTGTCGGCAAGGTGCCAGGCAGATGCGCAGTTTCAGATGTTATTGACATTTCATAGGACTGACATTCCGCTCCCCATTTAATGTTTGCCTGAATCAAAGACAAGAGACCTGGCTTCATCATACGAAGGAGTACGACTTTAAATGTATAAATAACATTGAATCTGAAGAGATTTATTTGGCTAAATATGCAGTATGCAGATGCTACACTGTCATGGTCACTTCCGATGCTGCCATAACAATGATATTAATGTACATATGTTATTAGTTAAATTTCTTTACCTTTGCACCGACAAGGGCCTTCACAGAGGTATCGATGCATATCTTCCAGTTGCTGTTTTCTTTAACATGAGACACAACCAGCTGGGTTTTTTTCACTTCTTCGGTGGTGTAGTAGAAGACTGCATTGTAACCCTCTGGCTTCTTGGCGCCACTCACGGCAAATGCATTGACATTGAACACGGCTTCAAATGTTGAATTTCCCATCTGTTGAGTGAGATAGAAAGCAGTCCAGTTGATTCTTGTGTGTCCAGCGTTTACTTCATTTCCTGTGTGAACTTAAAACAAACTGCATCTGCTCCATGTTTTAGAATTTGGGTAATTTCAAGGCTGGCGAAATACCTGAGAAAGAGACTCAAGCAGTTCCTGTGCGCTGGCTGGATGGCTGCTCGGGCCGGCATTAATCTCAAAGTGGATTTTGTCAACAGCATTGATGGCTTGGGCTGGTAAAATTGCACAGGTACATTGGCAAAGAGTAAAGAAAAGAATGTCTAAAGGCTATTTAATTTTACTTTAAAAATCAAACACAACCCCAAAAATTTGTAAAAAACAGAAAATAAAGTGTAACACCTCACTCAAAATCTTGTTTTTGCAGTCCAGTGGTTTAATTTGGTGACTAGCTCTTATTGTGTGTCTTGTAAGTTCAGCAGTGTGAAACCAGTTGTCTGCCTGAGCCGCTAAATATTTGTTGCGTTCTCTTAAACATTGTGTGAGTGTATGATGTTGTTTTTTGGACAGCACGGTACTGTATGATGCAAAATGCTGTACCTGTTAAACATACCTGGTAGTACTTTGACTGCCACGTGGGTGTATCCCAGGAAATAGTACAGGGGATATTCGTCATGATAAAATTCCCTCCTTAAGTCATACTCCACGCAGACACCGGCTCCATAAATGTTACTCTCAACACACATTTTGTCTTTTTGTGTCCAGTTGCCTTGTGTCAGGATCTGTCGGATTGGTTGAAAATCACAAAGACGTCCATCTGTTTTGAGTTCTGAAAAGTGTTAATTAGTTCAACTCTAACAGCAATCTGACAAATCATTTTGACTGTACCTGATCTGTCTGAGCCGTCTCAACTGTTGGGCCTTTCTGGAAGACTTCATCGTTGGAGTCTGGAATCATTGGAGTCCTTTTATCCAAATCTGGCTCTTCGATGTTCCTGCTGACTGCATACACGTTGGAGCTGTCCGGTGGAAAGAAAGATAAGAACTAGTACACTTTGCAAACTGGCTGGATTGTTTACAAGGGTTAATAGGGAGAAATTGAATATACTTTGATACCTTCATTTTCATTCGCCTATAGTCTCCCGGCACCAAGAATCATTGTGTTTTTGTGTCCTTTATACGAGCCGTCCAAATCCCCCCATTAGAGCATCATGGTAACATAACACTATGCCTACTATGCATAGCGTTGATTTGGATTCATTGGAAGAAGGAATGAACTAATTCAGAGTCATGAATCTAACATGAAACGCTATAGTAACTATCTTGTAGCAGTTTATCTAGTGAGCTGCAAAGCGGGAGCTCAAACCCCGCTGCTGGATTCAGCGTCAGGGAGACCTCATAGATGACTAGACAAAATAATACATACCTCAATGAGAGGAGGTTAAACTCTTTTTTACATGGAGGGAAGTTGAGTTCAAACTTCTTCTTTGCAATGTTGATCTTGGCAGAAAACTTCCATGGGATTGCAATAGGTGTTTTGGCTTTAAACTCAGAACCGCATTGGAACAGCTCTGTATTGATACCGTAGTAAAGCCAGAAATCCTTTGTATAACTAAAAGACAAGAGGTTGATTTAGTGGGGGTAATACAACATAATTAGTATCGATAGCGCTAGAAGTTGAAATCAAATCAACAGTAAGTATTTTACCCAATGAAACCGTCAGTCTCCAGCGAAATGTCAGACGTAAACAGTTGTCCAAGACGTTCAGTCAGTGGGGGATTGATCGAGGCTGTGGCTGTGTTAAGAAAATATGAAATGACATACACTCTTTTAGTGATCGATATACACAGATATGAGGTGAACGGTGTCGTGTGCAGTCAGATTTGACTCACTCACCATTTACACTGATTCCATTGATGGTCTCATAATATTTGCTTATCTCCAATGGGAGACCAAGGATAGTAGCTTGGAAGTAGCGAACCTCAACGATCAGGAAGGGCTTGGTACGGTGCCACGACACTCCCTTCTGTAGATTCTCAATCGCGGCCCACAGGAAACTCCCTTTGCTTGCAGATTGACGGAAGAACTGCAACACAAAAGAACATCGTGTAGCAGGCTTTATACCCAAGTAGTCTGTTCTGTTGACTGTTTTCCACTTATTCTCCCACCTTGACGATGTTCTGGATGGTTTCTTTCTTAAGATCAGCGAAGAACCACTCTTGTCCGGAGGCCCGTGAATATGCGCTCAGGACAGGCTTGTCATTGGGCAGAACCTCCCAGTTTTTAAGCTGAAAATGATACAGCGCGGTGGTCACACAAGCGAATGAGGCGGACGCATTAAAGTGCGGTTGATGACGCTGTTGTTACACTCACCACATTGAGAACGGCCTGAAAGTCACTGAAACCAAGATCTCCTTTAAAACCAGGGATGCCGTTTGCAAACAGCTCCTTGAGCCCATCGGCACGGATACCCAACTGCAACGTAAGAAAAAGAACAGATGAGTACCGGTCGACACTTCATCTTCAACGAAACCTTCAATGTGGAACACTGTACCTCCATCAGCTGCAGAATTCTACCGATAAAATAAAATTCTCCTTTCATCAGGATTTCAGTTGGAAAGATGTTTGTTGCACTTCTCAGCATGAATACTTCAGTGGCCGTGCCAATTAAGAAATCATCTGCATCGGGGAAAAAAAACAATTGTCATGTGTCTTATTTCAGGGAAATCCTATAAAGTCTATATTTGAGCATACCATTAAACCAGTCCATGTGTATCGCTTTGCTGTAGTGATAGCTGAGACGGCTGTATCTGGGGCCCAGGATTTTCACCGCTACGTTGCAGGCGGTTGAGCTATTTTAGAAAACACAAAAAAATGAATGTTGAAAGCTGGAGTATATCGGAAGTAACGTGATTCCAACGATCACGGCCAATTGTTTTGGTGTTGTTTTACTCACAGGAAGTGGTTGTTTGGGGTGCTGGATCTGGAAACGCTTTTCAAGTACGAGTATGCAAAACTAATAACATGGAGGTTTTTTTCCTCCTGCAGATGTACAGTCACAATGGACACCACGGCCATTGACGGTTTAGTGTCAAACAGGATCATGAATGCTAGCATGCGAATCTCGGTGGGATTGTTTTTCTGCAGGAACAGACTCATGGTGATGTCCTGAACCTGAACACACAAGTATAATAACAATTAGGATTTCAGAAAGATTTCACATTCAATGACCCGCTGTTCTGAAATTCTTTTCAGGTTCCAACAGTCTTTTCACATTATTTTTGAACGTTTATGAACTTTAAAAAGGCCGATTACTGTAATTGTTGTAGGTATAGTCAGTGAAAAGATTTAAAAAATACCAAAATGTAACTATGATGTAACATGTAGCATGAATCACCTGCCATTTTCACCTAATTGCTGAGCCTAATCTTACCTGCCACAATGGATTATTATAGACTGTGGCATTTTCAACTTGACTACGGAGGACAGCTCCTGTAATTACCAGGAACACGATTTGTATAAAAGCCTGGCACATAATAAGCTCTTATTCCTGCGTATTCTGTATAGTTACACTGAGAGGGTCTCTGGCAGCTATGAGCCTCATAGACTGCACGGCGGCGCTCAGCACACGAGGCGGCAGATCCACGGGCGTGGCAGCAACTCCGGGGAGAAAGCGCATGATGGTTTTAAGGCTGCTTGGATGACCCGCGTTCCCCAGGGCTTTCAGAGCGAGGACCATGTCGTCGTGGTTACGGATCCTCAAACTTTCCACGGCCATGTCCAGCAGTGGCTACAACAGATGTTCAACATTATGATTTTACTCACTGAATACCAGACAGCCTTGTTCTCATAACCTACCAAATGACTTTATAGTACAAAGGTCAAAAGTCATTTGATCACCTGAACAGTAGCTGCCGGACACGGTGTAGCATAGGCACAGTGCTTGTAGACCAGGGAGCCATAGGAAAGCACCACAGTGTGCCACAACTCCACATCGGATTTGCAGAAGGGCATGTCCAGGAACATCTGTGAAGAAGAGAAATGTTTTGAAATGGTCTGTAATCATTGTGTGGTATTGTCACAGGTGGGTAATGAGACAATGTCCCCCCTGGACACAGACATACAACCCCCCCCTCCCCCATACATGGAGACACAGACAAGATGTTGAGCCTCTTTTGGATGTTTGGTGTCTTTAGCCTTAACTCACTTTAGCCATCTCAACCAAGTTAGCATCAGTCTGGAGATGGTTGAACGCCAGCAGCAGGGTCTGCCAAGCTTCACTCGCGGTCACGTCTCTCGCCTGGAACCTCGCTTGCAGGAACTTCAGGATTCTGGCATCGTTGATTTCCACGATCATGTCTAAGAACCAACGTCTAATTGATTGAGAAGGGGGAGAAAATGGGAATCATAGAGCACTAAAGATGAGAATGATCTGTAAAGAGAAATAAAGTAATTGTTTAATTGCACTTTTACAGGATGAAAAACAAGGCGTCGAGTACGACCTTAATCTTAACGAGTGAGGAAAGCGGTCTGTCAGTCATCGCCTTTCTGTCACCAAGCCTCACACAATAAGGAATCATGCATGTAATGTCATGTTGGAGTAACTGAAATCATTTTGTCGAGTTTAGTGAAGGATAACATCTCTAAAGCTCTGTGCACCACCCAACCTTCACAGCATGACCCTGTGTTGTACTGTGTGACCTACACAAAGCTTCCTGTGTATTCTGGACAGATTTATATTTTGTCATTAATAGTCACATGTGAAAGAGAATCCGACAGACAGTTGGTTGTTCACAAGAAACAGAAAGTCAGTTTCAAGGACACTAAGACTAAATTGTTTTAATATTATTCTACTTTCATAATATCCGAATGTCATATTTTGAATTTCCATTTGAAATCATGTATCTTATGTATTAATATTTGAAATGCTTATTGAGCATATTTTGGTTTTGTTTATCCATTGCTGGCAAGCCACTGACCAACTTCTCACCTTTGTTCTTCATTTCCTGCAAATTGCTTCCACAAAATGTCCAATCCTTCATAGGGCATCGCTCGCAGCAGTTGATACAGCTTTATCGTGTCCTCAGATGTCGTGCTATCAATGTGATAACGGTTAGCCTCAGCCAGATGCTTGATCAACTCAGCAGCCTTCAAGGAACACGATGATTGATGATTAGTTAGTAAATGTCGCCCTACAATTAGGTCCTCTGTGGACAGGTTATTGAAATTCTTTAGATTTACTTCACGGTTATGAAAGTTAATGCTTTTGATGCAAGTTGATTTCTCAACAAGATTTCTTGTCCTCATTCAATTGTTTTCCTAGTTTTGACAGGTTTCCCTGCAGCCTTCTAGCGATATCTTCACGTCACAGCAGCGTGTCCTTATTACCTTTGTTATCGGGTCTTCGAGGTTCTGCATCACAATGGGGAGGTTGATTTCTGCATCGGTAAACATAAAAACCAGGTTGCCCTTGCTTTCCATCGGCCCGGGCTCCACGGCTCCCACCGTGTCATTCACGCTGAGCAGCACCATCTCATTCCTGTAGACCAGGTCAAGCAAAACAGACCATTTACATTGGCGGACAGGCATCGCAGGGGGAGCGCGCGCGCGACATTTCCTTACACTGCTTCCATCTTGAAGTTGCCGCCCTTCACGTTGAAGGGACTGAAGTTCTGCTGCTCGTGGCCGTGGGCCCTGGTGATGAGACCCCCATCTGCCGTCGGCTTGACCGTGTAAACACACCTCACGGTGGAAACGATAGATTCCCCTCTCTGGATCGGGAGGACAACACGAACAAATGTGACACTTCATTTCATTCGCGACTGTGGGAACGTTCGCGGGTGAGACGGACAGACCTGTTTGCCGACGTCGTCGAGCACGGCGGTGGCCATTCCCTTGTAGATGGCTGCCTTCTCTCTGCAGTTACTGATATCCACAACCTGGATGACGGCCATGTCCTTTGTTTCTTCGTTCACCTCAGTGGCGTAATGGCTCGGACACACGCCATGGATGCTAGACTACAAACACAATCAAACATGTTTTTTTTTGTTTATTATTTCTTATTTGCAGAGATGAGCTTACTTGTCAGAATAAACCTTACCTCTTCAAGCTCATAGATCCTCTGTGTGGTCTTCACGGTCACGTGGAACAGACCCAGTATTCCTCTCACAAGGTTGACGATAGTGTCAGAAGTCTTCGCAGAGGTACGGATGTTACTAACGTGTCCACCGACATAGTCAAACATGAAGGGTTTGACGAGCTGCGAGGCGATGCGCTCGGTGAGCTTTGGCACAGCGGTGAAGCGGTTTCTTCCCTTAACGCCATTGAAATCTTCGAAGGCAAAATCTGAAACCTTTTAACCCGAGATAAAATTGTGTTATTTGTAGCAAGTCAGTGGGAAATCTGTCTTATTCTATGTCAGATAAAAAACTGGTGGCATCAGTAGCCCACCAGAAAATGACAAAAACATGTCTGCACTACCCTGCTGAAAAAAAGGTGATGCAAGATGAGGATTCTTTATTAATCTGTTGATACGCAAACATTTGTAGCTGACCTGACTTTTAAGTTGTTTACGAACAACTACTTTACACCGCAAAGTTATTTCCCAACCAATTTTTTTTTTTTAATTGGCTTCTAAAAAACTAATGACACTTCAATGATTGATAAATGATGCATTTGTTTAACTTGGTTAATGAATCAGACATGAATCGAGCTGATTAGCATGTCATTGTCTCTGTGACTCAGTAACACGTTTAAACAACACATTCTGACAAGGTTTGCACTCTGTTGTCAATCTCACCTGAAGGATGAAGGTTTGCTGAGACGCACCGGCGATTTTGATGTTGCATGAGATTCTCGTAGCAGACTCAGCGAGGTTGGGTTTACCGAGTCCAAAATTCACGTCTCCCACATATTTGTACTTATATGTTTTCTTCGGGCTCAGACCAGGCTCTGAAATTTGTTTCCAACATGAAATGTCATTTCACTGCTTCAGTACAGAAGGTTTTGGTTAAATAGTATTTTTACTTTGATGATGAATAATTAAGGACTCACCATAATGGACACTTTGACTTGCTGAAGGAAAAAAAGTCAAAACACTTCATCAGCATCTTTGTGGCTATAAGAGCAGATTTTTTATCTTAGTTACCTTATTACATGTCACAGAATTATATCCAGAGATATTTAATGTCAGGCACAAGACATCAGAGAAGAAAATGTCAACAGTACTATTGTAAAAAGAAAAAACAATTTTAAAACATTCAACAAACCTATAGAAGTTAGTCATGATTGACCCACTGCAATTACAATAATTTATTTCCTTTCCTGGTTTCCACTTTTAAAAGTTTGTCATTGAATGATGGAATGAATCATGGTTGCAAAAATGAACTCAATCAACTTCGGTATTTTCGGTCATTTTCAAAAATGATACCAAACAAAAAAATTTACATGGCTGGATTTTGAAATCCTGCAGCAAGTAAATAAAGATGAATGAATCAATGAAAACTTACCGGCCAGAGCCACAAGGCAGAAGAGCAGGAGGCCCTGCATGTTGAAACTGAGCAGGTGAAGGCAATATTTCCGATGTGTCCTGTATATATATATGCCGCCCACTATTCAGGTTGTGGGAGCTTGTGGTTTATAGGTTGAAACACAGCAATTGTTGACCTGCGACATTGTCACAGTGACACGCGTGTTACATCACTGTTTGTTGTGTGTAATTGTGTGAGTAAGCGATGACAAATGTTACACAACATCCAAAGGTAAAAATGAACAATATATTGTTTAGGTGATAGTTCATGCATCAAACTTTTTGACTGTGCTTTAATATGTTTAAAAGGGACACATTTACATTCTGCTTCTTCCTCATAAAAAACAAAAAAGTGGTGAAAGAAGCATCCAGATCCTTTGAAGTACTAATTTCACTAAGTAAACTTACTATAAAAAGAAGAAAGTATTTAAACGTATGAAAAGTAAAAGTGCTTTATGTGTCTGTGTTGTACTATTAATGATGTGTTAAGATGAATTAGTACTAAATGAATGTGTTTGCAGCATTTAGTTTGAGTTGTTCTCATTTTCCCGACGTTATGTCCCGTCTAGTCTCCACACTGTGCATCATCCTCTTTAAGTTCACCATGTGTTTGCAGCTTTTCACATTTTATTTCCAGGCTATTCCAAGACGTTTTAAATACTTTATTTAGCTCAAGAAGCAGAAAAGTAAACATCACCACATTTTGAGATATCTGGTTTTCACTGAAAATGTAATGAGACAAGTAAAATATGGAGACATGGATTACAAATAGTAAGTTGTATAACGTGAATACTAATACTAATAAAAAGCACCTTGAATGTGTATTTCAGTGAATTAACAGTCACATCTCACCACCACATAGAACTTAAATAACAAACTTGAAACCTCATTTTGTAATCAGTCAGAAAATGCAATAAACAAGTCATTCTCAGCTGAATGAAGGGATAAACGCGGGGAGTTCTGGATCTATTTCCTCAGAGGAGTGAAGGCAGAGCAGATGAAGGCTGGTTTATTATTTAACTGAATATCTGGAGAAACTCCCGGTATTGAAATATAAAACCATCCCCAGGCATCACAAACATCTCCTCCTGGACGCTGCAACGTCAGAAGTGTGCTAAATCACTGCCCTTCGTGCCAATTATTCGCAGCCTAAAGGTCTCCTTTATGTGTTCAGTTTGAGGGTGACGACACCGAGCGGCAATCTATTTTTGTTGTACTTTGGCTTTATGTTTGGATTGCACATCACAGGAGTCCCTGGTGTAATCTGAATCCAGCCGTCCTACCCCTTTCCTCCCGAGGCCTCCCTGACCAGCTGCTATTCTTTACAAACAGCCAGTAGAGGTCACCAACACCACGTCTTTACCTTCAAATTAAAACAAGAAGCCTGTTTCGGAGGAGAACAGAGAAAGCATTATTAATGCCTCTGAAGATCGGCTGGGTTTAGTCGTGTCATGATGGGCGTTTCTGTGGCATCTTTGTCAGCCAAATGTAGTTATTTCAAGTGAGGCGGGATTTTGGGATCCGGGGGATCTCGTTAATTAGGGGAAGACGGCGGAGGAAGTGGGAACAGGTGTGCTGGTGAGAGGTGAGAAAAGGGCGAGCTTGATGGGGGTTCACTTCCTGTAGATCTTTCCTTTGTTCTTGTTTGAGTCACACATGAAGATCTAGTGTGAGATACACGCGGCACAAGGACACTTGGGAAAGCGTTGAACCCCAAGTTGATTCTTGATATGTAAGTATATGAATGAATGGAAATGAGTTTAGGGTTTAGATGTGCAGATGGCACCTCACACAGTGGCCTCTGTTCTGTGAATGTGTTAATAGGAGAAGGATGCGAATGGAAGTATTAAAAGTTCCTATAGGTCCATTATTCAGTATTTTCCCTCTTGACATTTGTCTAAAAATCAGAGGATGTAGAAAAGGAAATATTTTGCATTAAAGATATGTTTTGTTTGTAGTTTAAGCTGCCTGTTTTTAAATATTTGTAGGATTATAACTGGTTCATCTGCTGGGTGTGGACGCATTAAGCGTATTGAGAAGTGTATTTGTTGCAGTGATCCTACTTCTGATGATGTCTTTAATGCCACACTGCCTGCACAACTGCCTTCTCTTCCTTAAGACCAGGAGGAGGAATTTCAGATCTATTTGAATAAAACAACTTGTAATGGCGCTAGAGCAGGATGTTGTACTGCATATACTATTTGCAAGGATACATTTTTGCACAGGCATGAAAGACATTGGTGCACAAGAAATCTAAGAACAAGCCGAAACAAGGCAGAGATTCATTTTCGATATTTGTGACTGCTCTTTTTTTATCCAGTGTAACACCTCTCATGTGTTTGATTACACCGATTGATTGAATTTATCGACTAGAGTTGGCTGGTTTAAATTCTCATAAAACCAAAAACAAGCGTTTGTTGTTGTACCATACTTTGGTTTGGTTTAATTCATTGGAAAGAGATTCAGCAACACATTTACTGGAGGTATTTTTTTTAATAATTGTGTTTGTTGTTCAGCACATGGCTTCTTACCCTGCAGCAGAGAACAATGCTCTGTGATTGGAGCAATAAGGAAAAAACAATACAGAAAAAATAAAGGATCAACCATAAACATTTATTTTTTAACAGCCCAGTATCACAAGTCCTTTAAAGGGCTACAACACAAGTCATACGGACCAACATGCTACAAACACGAACAAATACACAAAGAGGAGCTAGTGCAGAGAATGCATGTGGGTATAATAATCAGTGCTGCCAGCTCTTTGTGTGTCATATATGACTCCTCGTTGTGTCCACTAGATGGGGCCGTCGACCTTCCTTACGACCATCGGGACACAATCCTGACAATTCAACTCAAATGCACTGTACACTGTGTGATCTTAAGAATGCATTGAACAACACTTTGTTTTGCACATAAAAGTCAGCATACAACATGTTTTAATCTGCCACATTAATTTTTCATAATTAAAAAATCAATTTCAAACACCAGAAAGGAACAGAGACAACGAGAGTGTAGGATCTTTGCTGTGTAATGGAAATAACTGGTCAAATTAAAATGGAAAACATGTTTGCATCACTCTCAGGTGTATGGAATATATGAACACGTTGATACAGAAGGCTATTGCCATTGTATGTAAAACAAACATGATGCATAGTGCAGTCTTTAAAAGGGGAAACTTGTATGTTAACAAACTATAAGTGATGCGTATTCTCATCTGCCGGACATCTGTTCTAAATTTCCCCCATATTATTTTTCAAAACTGAAAACACGAGTCATAGGACATGGCAAAAGCTGCAGTGTCGACTATTATTGTACAAGTGCAAGCTATCAGGCTTTATTGGTGATGTTTCATCTCAGGCATTCGAAACAACACGGCACGTTTTTGAAAAGTCTGTAGTACTCCTCCTGGATCTGGAATGACACATTCAAAAAGGTCAGAATTGGATCAAAACAAATATAGTATTTAACTACGGTTAGTATTGACAAGTTAATAATCGATAAAAACTTGTGTTTTTTTTTTTTTTTTCTGCTCAAACTATAATGATACACCATGATGCTCTTTAGCGGCTCATTTAACTTCCACTGTCCTGATGTGAACTATAGTTCACTATAAGACGAGCTTCTTACCTTTCTGGACAGGACGCAGAGGAAGATGAATATGAACATGCCCTGGAAGGCGTTTGCCAGGGTGAACAGGTAGGCAGTGAGGGTGGTCTCGTTGAGGATGTGCAGCACTCCTAAAGTCCAGGTGGCTCCCAGCACAAAGAGCAGAGCGAAGGCACCACGGGCACAGGACCTGAGGGCGAGGACACTCACTTTAACCGAAATATCTTTGTTTTGAGTTGCCAAACAGCTGATTGCACCAACATGCTACATGGACAACACACGAAACCGCTTTGATCCACCAGATGAGGAAATTACAGCTTGATTTTGATTATTCTTTGACCTCAAGAGCACATGTAATCCTACCTGATATTTTGATAGTGGCTAATTTCCGGCCTTTTTACGGCAGTATGCCGGTACACTTTGTAGATGATTACTCCAAAAGCCAAGAGATTAACCTTTGGTGGACGCAGAGCAAAACAAACGTCATAAGAAACGGGCAGGATCAACTTGATATCAATCGATGCAACAATCCCTATTTGACGATTCCAACAGTTATTGTTCGATCCTACCAGAATGATCAAACATGCCGGCCCAATGAAACTCCATATGAAGTGGTTTTCTGTGCTCAGCCAACACCTGCAACACAAATCAATGTGTTATTCAACAAACACTTCCATTAGATGCAATAATCCCCCATTGTGCAGCAGGAATGCCCTCTGTCATTGGAATTCAGTCTAATCCAGCCTGATCTTAATTATGGCAATATCGTATGGGCTGATACACAGCGTTATCTTACCAACACCAAAACAATCGGGTGGAAAAAGCTGCGCCTGCTCGCGGTAATGAACAACCAGCACTTATTTTTTGCATTACCTCAATCTTTTAATTGTATTTTACATTAATAAACAAAAGATTTACTTTCATATAGATTACTATTCAATGTATGATCTGACCAACCTGAAACCTCTCGGAAATTTCTTTTCCACTAATTATTACTTTACGAGGCGTCCAAGCGTCTTCTACTTCCTGGATGTCCCCGCAGGCCAAAACGAATCTCTGTCCCAGTCTATTTATAATTAATGTAATTTGTTTATCTTTCTTCTGTGAAAACCGCTGAACGACATTAGAAAATAGGGGTTTGTATAAAAACGTTTGTCTCGCCACCTCTCTTTGTACTTACACTTTATCGGTGCCATAATACTTGGAGCCCAGTGTTGCCGAGATGGCCACCACCACAGCAGGGCTCCCGTAGCCGAAGATGTAAAAGTTGCGGTGCAGGAAGCCTTTGTTGTAGATGACGCCAACCACGATCAAGTACAGATGGATGCCCTCGATGCACATCCAGGAAAAGGCTGCGAGGAAGAAATAGTGCAGCAGCCCTGCAATAACCGAGCAGAAAAGCTGCCGAGAGACAGACAAAAAAATGAAGAGATGGAGAGAGATTTGGACAATTTTTAATAATGTGTAAAAGCCCAGATATTTAAATCCCTATA